TATATATATATATATATATATATATATATAATATATATATATATATATATATATATATATATATATATATATATATATATATAATATATATATATATATATATATATATATATATATATATATATATATATATATATATATATATATATATATATATATATATATATATATATATATATATATATATATATATATATATATATATATATATATATATATATATAATATATATATATATATATATATATATATATATATATATATATATATTATATATATTTATATATACATATATACATATATTCATATATACATATATACATATTTACATACACATTTAAATACATATTTACATATATACATACATATTTACATACATACATACATACATACATACATACATACATACATACATACATACATACATACATACATACATATTTACACACATACATACATAAATACATACATACATTCATCACTGCCTTAATTCAAACACAAAAATATTATCTATTTATATAAATATACAAGGTACTTACTGACAGCAGTCAATGAAATATCATCAATTGCATAATTTCCTTGAACACCATTTGATGTAGCAACAAATTCAATTTTCTAATGTCAAAGTTATGCAATATAAAAGGAACAAATTATACATGTAATTATATTATATATGTAATTATATATAAACTTAAAGTTAAAAATCAATTAAGATCTATGAAAGAGTCAATTGGAAGCATTACAACCGATCAAAGCCATAAAGCTACAATCCTTAACAAATTCTTTTCATCTATTTTTACTTCTTTAAGTTTAAGCCAATCACTGCCACTGTTCAAGAAACACACATTTTCTGGGATTGATGAGACTTCGGTCTCAATCATGCATTACAAATTTATTGAAAACTGTCAATCAGATCTTGAACTCAATGGCAAGAGGCTATAGCATAGATGCTTTATATCTAGATTATGAAAAAGCATTTAACACACCTCCTCATAACCTTATGCTTCACAAACATTCTGGATATGGTATCTCTTATATGCTTCTTTATTGAATAAATTATTTTCTTTCTAACAAAACACAACAAGTTGTCATGGGTTGCGCTACTTCAGATTGGTTACCAGTCACCAATGGTATCCCACAAGGATCTGTTCTAGGATCTACTTTACTTATCTTATACATCAATGACATTACAGACCTTATTAGCGATCCAATGAAGTTATATGTCAACGACAGCAAAGTTATTTTCACCAATTTGACACCTGAGAACCCAGATTTGCTCCAGAAGGATATAAATCACATTATTTCTTGGACTCTAACCAGGCGCTTATGTCTCAACTACAAAAAGTGCCTTATAGTTCATTTTAACAAAAGTAAAAATCCTAATCACCAATACTATATCTTGACTCAGCTTCTTGATTCCTTTTACAACAAAAGAAATCTTGGCATTTGCATCTCACGCAACCTCAAATGGGACACTCATACTAAAATAATATCATCTAAAGCCAACTCTGTTCTCGGTCAACTAAGGAAATCTTTTATCTATAAAAATGTTCATTTTTGGAAGAGACTATTCACATCACTTGTCAGACCTCACCTTGAGTATACTGCTTATGTATGGAATTCTCTTTCTGCAACGTCAAAAAACTTGAAAAAGTCCAAAAATGGGCCATCAAAGCAACTCCATCTTTAAGAGCGCTATCCAGCGAAGCCAGATTATCATTTCTTCACCTCACCTCACTAATGAAAGACACATTAAAGGTGATTTAATCTACAACTATAAATTTAATAATAACTTAGAAAATATTTATTGGCCTGACCCACAAATTGGCAATCCATCTGTCCAAATAACTCAAGGACACTCTCAATGTCTTATCAAAGAGTTTTTTAGTGCTTCAGACCTCAAGAAATTAAGCCTAATATCTCTATTAGGCTTAATTTCTTTCCTAACAGAGTAGTTGACCAATTGAATTCACTTCCATTAACTTAAATTGACTCTCGTAACCTAAATGAATTAAAAAATTGTATCAAAAAACACTCTATCCAGCACTAGTTTTAAAATTTATTACCAAAATGCTGCTACAGCTCATTATCTACCAACAAGGAGCTAAAGGGTTGCTACCCCTATCAAGCGAGATTAAAAAAAAAAAAAAAAACTCATTTACTTTGTGTTACAAGTTTAATACTTATTTTAAAATTTTCTCGCTGCAGCTTATTATTATTATTATTATTATTATTATTATTATTATTATTATTATTATTATTATTATTATTATTATTATTATTATTATATTCAACAATATTAGTTTATGTAATTAATTTTCACTAATCACAAATACTTAAACTTACAGTATATATAACTGTTGAAACAAATGTTAAACTTATATAAAAATGTAGGATTTTTTTTACCATTTATAATAACAATTTACAAAAAAACAGTTTAAAAAACTTATTTATAAATCTACCTGAAATGAACTTGTCATGTTAAAGGTGTATAGAGTAT